CATTCTTATATTACTCCAAGTCAATGACGCTTAACTATGGAGTTTTGATGAGATAAACTACCAAAAAGTAGATGCATGTTGTTAGTATAGATAGTACAAATTAATTCAATTAAGTCATCTTCAACTATACAATCTTATATTTGCACTATATCTAGATCCCTCTCATTCAGGTGTATTCGGACTGTTATAAAAATAAAATAATATATATAATAATTATATTACCAATAATAATAATTATATTATATTTAATTAATCTTTATTTGTATATATTCTTACTTTTATAATTAACAATCTACTTATTTATATTTAAAATTAATATTATGATACAATTTTAATTAATTATTATAAATTTAAAAGTTTAAATAATAATTTATATATTCTAATTATCAATCATTAATAAAATACTAATTTAAAATCTTATCTAATTATATCATAATATTTTCATATCAAATTTAAAATCCATATATTAGTATGTTATTTTTTTTATCATCAATTAATTTGATGTATCTTAAATCTAAGATATAAAATTCAAAAAATGTATTTATTCCTGTTTTATTTTCTAATTATCAATCATTAATAAAATACTAATTTAAAATTTTATCTAATTATATCATATTATGTTTATATCAAATTAAAAACCAGATATTAATTATACAAAATTATTAAGATCATATTGTAAATTATCAATAAGATTCAAGTTAAATAATTTAAAATAATTAATCTTTTAATTATATTATAAGCAAATAATTTATTCCAAAGCTAATTAATTTTTTCTATATTAATTATTAGTAAAATTTAATAATTTTTAATTTAACAGTTGGATCAATGAAATTCAACATGCACCATGAGCTATTACGCGAAGTAACTTTACCAAGAGTTACTATGTGAGTCATTTGATTCCTTCTCTCTCTCTCTCTATATATATATATATTTAAAATTTTATCGATATTTTTTAATATATGATTGTCAATTATTGTCAAAAAATTATTACATTTTTTGACAAATATAAATTAGTCAAAAATATTTCATGAGTAATATAACTTTTCTTACGAATTTTTTTCATTAAAAATATAAATTTTCTGATAGATTTATATCTGTCAGAAATTACTGATGAATAAATCCATTGGAAATTATCGACAGATATATCCGTCGGAAATATAAATTTTTTGACAGATTTGTATTCGTCGAAAATATAAATTCTTTGACAGATTTGTATCCGTCAGTAATATAACTTTTCCTACGAATTTTTTTTGTCAGTAAAATCTATTGAAAATATAAATTTTTTGACAGATTTATATCCGTCGGTAATTTGCATTTTTCTTGTAGTGATACTTTGAGTTTGGGTCGCAAATCCAAAAAAAATAGTTGTTGCAGGAGCCTTTATTAATAAATCTGCAATTTGAAATTTGGAAAGAATGTATTTTATTATCAATTGGCCTATAGCAACTCTTTCTCTAATGAACCAAATATCCAATTCAAAATGTTTAATTTTATTGTGAAGGACAGGATTAGCTATTAATAGCACTGCTCACATATTGTCGCACCATACAATAGGTGTTCTTTTTAGAGGAATTTGTAGTTCATTAAGGATTGTATGTAGGAAATTTCTGCAGATAGGGATGCCAAACTCCTGAATTCTTCTTCTGTACTACTTTAGGATACCACCTTTTGTTTATTAGGTTTCCATGAAATAATGTTTCATCCAAGATAGAGACAATAACGTGTAGTAGATTTCATATCTTTTGGGTCTGCAGCCCAATCAAAGTCACTATATCCACTTATATATAGAGGTTGTGAAGCTTTGAAATGAAGACCATAATCAAGTGTTCCTACCAAATATCTTAAAACTCTTTTAGTAGATTTCCAGTGCTCCTCCAAGGGTTTGTGCATGAATTGGTAGAGCTTATTCATAGTGTAAGCTATATCTGGACACACTAAAATGAGAGGGATCCAAAGATAGTATAAGTATGAGATTTTATATTTGAGGATGACTTAAATGAATTAATTTGTATTACTTATACTAATAACATGCATATGCTTTTCGGTAGCTTATCTCATCAGAACTCCACAGTTAAGTGCGCTTAACTTGGAGTAATATTGGAATGGGTGATCTTTTAGAAAGTTTCCCAGAAATTGTGCAGTAAGGACAAAACACGTTGAAAAGTGAAGTGTCATGAAATAGCATCCTTGAGAGATCAAATACGAGGGTAGTTACATTAATAAATTTATTAAAATTAAACAAAAAAATTTCGAAGGTTATCTACGGATAAAATCCATAGGTAACAACTTTCGTGGGTTATCTACGGAAAACTTTTCGTAGATAACATTATCTACGACCCTATTACCTATGGATTTTTGGCTGTAGATAATCCGTAGATAATTAAGACTTATCTACGGGTTTTCATGCTTATCTACGGATTTTTTTCTTAGATAATTCTGATTTTTAGTGTTCCTAATTTTCATACGCCTATGTGATCTTTTCAATGATCTTATCTCCTTCTTTCTAGAATTTCTTTGGAATTGATTTCGCACCAAGAATGTATTTTGTAACACCCCAGTTTTTATTTCATTATTTATTTATTTTTAATTGAGGGTATTTTGGTAATTTTATAAAGGTATAGGGGTGATTTAGTAGCTTGGAACGGGCTGTTCCAGAATTGGGACGGGCCGTTCCAAACTACCAAAATATATGTGATTTAGTAGCTTGGAACGGGCTGTTCCGGAATTGGAACGGGTCGTTCCAAACTACCAAATTGTATGAGAGTTAATAGCCCGGAACGGGTCGTTCTAAAGTTGGAACGGGCCGTTCCAGACTATTAAAAGCTACCTTAAACTTTAAGTGGGAACGGGCCTGGAACGGGCTATGGCAGTTGAGTAATAAATGCACACCAGAACGGGCCATTCTGGTTTGGGAACGGGCCGTTCTGGGTGTAATTTTTACCCATGATTTTGGGGTCCATAACGGGCCGTTCTGAAATTGGAATGGGCCGTTCTGGTGAAGTCTAAGGCCTATAAATTGAGCTCTCTGCCACTCTGAAAAAGCACACCTCTCATTTCTGGTTTCTTTTCTTCTGCTCTCTCTCTTCTTTCCTCCACTTTCTGCTTCAGACCGAGGGGAACCCAACGAGGGAGATCAACCAGATCTAGTGTAGATTCAGCTTCTACATATTTAGATTCAGCTTCTACATATCCAGGTACGGGGGAAAAGGGAATTATTTATATGTAGAGTTACATAAGAGAATTGGGTAGAAGAAGAACCCTTAGGATTATGAGCAATTTTATAATTATTTCTGTTAGGAGAATTATTGGTCTTACGTGATTTTGTATGTATTTAGGACTATGAATATATGATTAATTTGTAAAAATGATGCTCTGGGAGAGAGAACGAAATCATAGAAAAGTGTCTGTTAGTTAGGTTGTGAAAAATTGGATGATTTCTATTTGAGGAATTGATGATCCCATTAGATTCTGTATGTGTTGAGGATTATAAATATGCTAATAATTTGTAAGAATGATGATCTGGGAGAGAGAACGAAATTGTAGAAAAGTGCCTGTGAGCTAGGTTTTGGAACAATTAGGGGTTTTACTGTTTATGTTGAAATTATATTAAATTGGTAATTCCATTAAGTATTATATTAACTTATGAATGTTATTGCTATATTGCTTGATAAAAATTGGTGATTTAGATGTGAATTGCTCAAGGTGTATGAAACCCATTATTTTGGGCTTATTTGATATGTGTATGGAATTGAACTACCAGATGTTGTGCGAAATGTGAATGAGATGTGGTTGTGGTTCTTCACACCTATGACCAGGGGTGAGCACGGCCCGAGATTATTACATGATCGAGTATCGTGACCTTGGTTAACATGTCAGGGGTGGGCACAGCCCTAAGTTAGGGGTAACGTGACCTTGGCACAGTGTTATATCAGGGGTGAGCACGACTCTGGATTGTTACGTGGGTATCGTGACCTTGGTTAACATGTCAGGGGTGAGCACGACCCTAGGATAGGGATAACGTGACCTTGGCACAGTGTTATATCAGGGGTGAGCACGTCCCGAGATTGTTAAATAGGTAGCGTGACCTTGGCATAGTGTGAAGTGCAAGATTTGTGATGATTGGTGTGATTGAGAATTATGACGTGATGACAATGCATGATTGATTGAAATACGATATGTTGAAATATTTATGAATATTAAATTATAATGAGATAATATGTTGTGTTTTCTTATGTGTTATATATATAGATGTTTTCTTTTCTCACCGTGCGATTTGTGGATATTTTAGGTGAGGAAGATCTGGCTACGAGTGGTATCTAGAATGCCAACGGTTGAATTGTCGGGATGCTCTGATATTGTGACATCGTGGCAAAAGATTTTTTTTAGAACATAGGTTTTTATTGTAAATGTTATTTTTGAAAACAATTTGAAAACTCTTGCGTTTCATTTTTGTTATTGTGGTTAATGAAGGATAATTTTGAAGATTCTCATGTCAACCCTTTTACCGATATTGAAAAAAATTATTTATAAGTTTTTATTGTTACAATATATATGTTGGGGTAGTAAGGGTGTCACATTTAGTGGTATCAGAGCAGGTCGATCCAATCGGCCGCGAGTTATGAGTCTACTATGCTTGTTTAGTAGATAATTGATGGAATGAATTGATTGTGGAATTTGTTGATATGTTAGTGCTATGATTGATTAAGTTTGTTGGTTACTTATAGTATAATTGTTAACTTTTCTGGTGATCCATAAAAGTAATGGCAGGAGGTAGGAACGATCGTGCAATCGCTGATGCTTTACAAGCGATGGCTCAGGCTCTTGGTAATATGAACCAACAACCAGAGATAGATTGGTTGGAGAGATTCTAGCAAAATAATCCGCCAAGCTTTCATGGGGGTTATAATCCTAATGGAGCTGCTGACTGGATATTCGAAGTTGAAAAGATATTCCAAGCTATGGGATGTCCTTTGATACAGAAGGTGACTTTGGCTGCCTTCATGCTTTCTGGAGAGGCTGGCATCTGGTGGCAAGGTGCTTTACAAAGAATGATAGCTGCAGGTACCCAAGTGAATTGGGAGAATTTCAAGCGGCTATTCTTGGAGAAATACTTTCCCCGGGATGTGAGACATAAGAAACAGGTGGAATTCCTTGAATTGAAGCAAGGAGAGGATTCAGTGGCTGAGTGTGTGACTAAGTTTGAAGACTTGGTCAGATTTTGTCCTATGTATGATGGTGTGGGCAATGAGGAGGACAAATGTGTGAAGTTTGTGAGTGGTCTTCGCCCTGAGATTAAACAAGTTTTCAATTATCAAGGGATCACTCACTATCATGAATTGGTAAACAAGTGCCGAGTATATGATGAGGACAACCGTGCTAGGGTAACTCATTATAAGAGTGGAGGACCCATGAGGAATAATAAGTTTGGTTCATCTAGTAAGAGTAAACCTTACACCAAGTCTGCTAGGGACTCAAGTTCGAAGGTGAATAATCAAGGTTCTGTGCAACAAAGGAGCCAAGTTCCCAAGGCTAGCCAAACTTCTAGAGGGGGAAGTGTGGGTTCTGTTCCACACAACAACTGCTACAACTGTGGGAAGCCAGGTCATAGGGCATATAAATGTTCGTTTCCCAGAGTAATAACGTGCTTCAAATGTCAAGAGAAGGGACACAGAGCTCGTGATTGCCCCAAGAATAAGACAACAGAGGTTGGAGGGAGTGCTAGCAAACCTCGAGCGACAGGAAGGGTGTTTGCCTTGAGTGGTGCTGAAGCTTCACAATCCAAAGACTTAATCCAGGGTATGTGTTTCATCAATGGAACTCCTCTAATTGTTTTGTATGACTCTGGTGCGACTCACTCTTTTATATCACATGCGTGTGTGTCCAAATTAAAATTACCTGTTTCTTCCTTGTCTTTTGAATTAATAGTAGAGACACCAACTAGTGGTTCAGTGTCTACTTCTGATGTCTGTTTAAAGTGTCCTTTGATTATTGATGGTAGAGATTTCATGGTTGACTTAATTTGTTTGCCTCTAAGTCAGCTAGATGTTATTCTGGGTATGGACTGGTTATCTTCCAATCATGTCCTTTTGAATTGTGCTGATAAATCTATTGTTTTTGGTGAGCCTGTTGAAAAAGTGAGTAAGGATTATTTGACTGCCAACCAAGTTAAGGTATCTTTACAAGAGGATGCTCAAGTGTACATGTTGTTAGCTTCTTTGAATTCTGAGAGTAATGTTTTGGTGAATGAACTGCCTGTTGTGTGTGACTTTTCGGATGTCTTCTCTGATGATATGTCTAGCTTACCACCTAGAAGAGAAGTAGAATTTTCCATAGACTTAGTACCAGGAACAGGACCTATTTCTATTGCACCTTATAGGATGTCACCCGTAGAGTTAGTGGAGCTTAAGAAACAAATAGAAGACTTGTTGGAGAAGGGGTTTGTGAGGCCTAGTGTATCACCTTGGGGAGCACCCGTACTATTAGTTAAGAAGAAGGATGGTAGCATGAGATTGTGTGTAGATTATCGCCAGTTGAACAAGGTGACCATTAAGAATAAATATTCATTGCCTAGGATAGATGATCTTATGGACTAGTTGGTGGGTGCTTGTGTATTTAGTAAAATTGATCTTAGATCGGGGTACCATCAGATTAGAGTTAAGGGTGAGGATGTACATAAGACAGCATTTAGGACTCGTTATGGACACTATGAGTATCAAGTAATGCCTTTTGGTGTGACGAATGCTCCTGCAGTTTTTATGGATTACATGAACCGAATCTTTCATCCGTACTTGGATAAATTTGTAGTTGTCTTCATAGATCTAACTGTTGGATTTACAAAATTCACATTTAATATAAAGTTATTGAACGATGTAATATTTATTAAAAATTATACCAGTATTATTATAACCCTTACATCTGGTATCAGAGCCTAATGGGGAAATAGGATAATATTTATTAATATTAAGTTAATATCTGTTACTATGCATCTGGTAAACTTCGTTACTTTATTCTTTCTGCAATGATCTTTTGCTTTCTATTTTGTACAGTAACTCCTTCTGGAAAACTATATGCATCTATGCTTTAGAATTTTGAAACAACTATAGCAGTAAGACCCGTGAGTGGCAGTAAGACTAATTTGACGATGTTGTCTTCAAAATCTGAGGCTAGTTCAGAAAAATTCCTTTTCGTATAGTTTTTTTTTTTAAAAAAAAAAAGAGTTTTTTAAACCCAAATTCATTGGACAGGTATTAATTTAATATTAATTTATGGGATCTTATGGAACCAAATGAGGGTAATGATACTAGATACTAGTACACCATGAGTAATTTCCTTCGCTCCCTTTCTCGTCGTCTTACTGTCAAGGCATCCTTTTCCTCCTCTTCTCCTTCAAAAAATCTGCTCACTGAGCAAAATCAAACCATGGAGGAAATTCCTCCTAAAAACAATATCTTCGAAGAAGAGGTCTGCTTTGAAGATATCAACCAAGCAATTGATAATTGGGAAATCCCCAAAATACCTCAGGATGAGTTATATATTCCTGATGAAAAACATGTGCGCAGTTCTGATTACATTATCAAGACTGCTGAAAACAATATACCATTAGACCCCCAAGCTGGTGAGGAGTTCCATCTTCTTACCAAACAATCTATTACAGAACATTCTAGGAAGTACAAGTACCTCCATATAGGGTGTGTCCAAGTTGCTGTTAAGCCCCTAATCAGGGAAGGTCTTAATGCTTCAATTATTATGTGTCTTAGAGATACAAGGCACAATGATTTCCATGACTCCCTTATAGGAACCGTCGAAACAAGCTTAGGACATGGTCCTGTTTATTTCAATTGTTTTCCAAATAAAACTGTGAGTCTTTTAGATAGAAATGTCTTAGACTCATTGTTTTTAAACATTAGACTGCATGGGTTAAACATGAAAGAAGGTTCTATCCCGGCAGCCCTCCTTTATAGGATCCAATACAAAGTCATGAACACTTGTAATTCAAGGGTTCTTCTTAAAACAAACGATAGGGAAACCACCTTGTTTGTCACAGACATGACAAAAGCCAATGTTGTTGTTCCCAAACTCATAAAATGGGATGAAGTAGAACTTCCTACAGCTTGGCAACTTGAAAGAGCCACACCAACCCTACCCAGACAAGCCCTTGAATTTCATAAGGATTCCTTTTTGTAATTAATTTATAAAAAAAAAAAGAGTTTTTTAAACCCAGATTCATTGGACAGGTATTAATTTAATATTAATTTATGGGATCTTATGGAACCAAATGAGGGTAATGATACTAGATACTAGTACACCATGAGTAATTTCCTCCGCTCCCTTTCTCGTCGTCTTACTGTCAAGGCATCCTCTTCCTCCTCTTCTCCTTCAAAAAATATGCTCACTGAGCAAAATCAAACCATGGAGGAAATTCCCAAAATACCCCAGGATGAGTTATATATTCCTGACGAAAAACATGTTCGCAGTTCTAATTACATTATCAAGACTGCTGAAAATAATATACCATTAGACCCCCAAGCTGGTGAGGAGTTCCATCTTCTTACCAAACAATCTATTACAGAACATTCTAGGAAGTACAAGTACCTCCATATAGGGTGTGTCCAAGTTGCTGTTAAGCCCTTAACCATGGAAGGTCTTAATGCTTCAATTCTTATGTGTCTTATAGATACAAGGCACAATGATTTCCATGACTCCCTTATAGGAATCGTCGAAACAAGTTTAGGACATGGTCCTGTTTATTTCAATTATTTTCCAAATAAAACTGTGAGTCTTTTAGATAGAAATGTCTTAGACTCATTGTTTTTAAACATTAGACTGCATGGGTTAAACATGAAAGAAGGTTCTATCCCTGCAGCCCTCCTTTATAAGATCCAATACAAAGTCATGAACACTTGTAATTCAAGGGTTCTTCTTAAAAAAAACGATAGGGAAACCACCTTGTTTGTCACAGACATGACAAAAGCCAATGTTGCTGTTCCCAAACTCATAAAATGGGATGAAGTAGAAAGAGTTTTTTAAACCCAGATTCATTGGACAGGTATTAATTTAATATTAATTTATGGGATCTTATGGAACCAAATGAGGGTAATGATACTAGATACTAGTACACCATGAGTAATTTCCTTCGCTCCCTTTCTCGTCGTCTTACTGTCAAGGCATCCTTTTCCTCCTCTTCTCCTTCAATTTTTTATTTCATTATTTATTTATTTTTAATTGAGGGTAATTTTATAAAGGTATAGGGGTGATTTAGTAGCTTGGAACAGGCTGTTCCAGAATTGGAACGGGCCGTTCCGGACTATTAAAAGCTACCTTAAACTTTAAGTGGGAACGGGCCTGGAACGGGCTATGGCAGTTGAGTAATAAATGCATACCAGAACGGGTTGTTCTGGTTTGGGAACGGGCCGTTCTGGGTGTGATTTTTACCCATGATTTTGGGGTCCAAAACGGGCCGTTCTGAAATTGGAACGGGCCGTTCTGGCGAAGTCTGAGGCCTATAAATTGAGCTCTCTGCCACTCTGAAAAAGCACACCTCTCATTTCTAATTTCTTTTCTTCTGCTCTCTCTCTTCTTTCCTCCACTTTCTGCTTCAGACCGAGGGGAACCCAACGAGGGAGATCAACCAGATCTAGTGTAGATTCAGCTTCTACATATTTAGATTCAGCTTCTACATATCCAGGTACGGGGAAAAAGGGAATTATTTATATGTAGAGTTACATAAGAGAATTGGGTAGAAGAAGAACCCTTAGGATTATGAGCAATTTTATAATTATTTATGTTAGGAGAATTATTGGTCTTACGTGATTTTGTATGTATTTAGTACTATGAATATATGATTAATTTGTAAAAATGATGCTTTGGGAGAGAGAACGAAATCATAGAAAAGTGCTTCTTAGTTAGGTTGTGAAAAATTGGATGATTTTTGTTTGAGGAATTGATGATCCCATTAGATTCTGTATGTGTTGAGGATTATAAATATGCTAATAATTTGTAAGAATGATGATCTGGGAGAGAGAACGAAATTGTAGAAAAGTGTCTATGAGCTAGGTTTTGGAACAATTAGGGGTTTTACTGTTTATGTTGAAATTATATTAAATTGGTAATTCCGTTGAGTATTATATTAATTTATGAATGTTATTGCTATATTACTTGATAAAAATTGGTGATTTAGATGTGAATTGCTCGAGGTGTATGAAACCTATTATTTTGGGCTTATCTGATATGTGTATGGCATTGAACTATGAGATGTT